CCCCCATCCCCTGTCCCCCGGTGCTGCTGGGAGGGAGGATGTAGAAATCCGGAGAGAAGTTAAGCCCAGGAAGCAGGGGGGTGGGAGGAGGTGTTTTAAGATTTGGGTTTATTTCTCGTTATCCTCTTGTCTGATCTCTTGTCTGACTGGTAATAAATTAAAATTTGTTTTTTTTTACCCAAGTCGAGTCTGTTTTGCCAGTAATTGGTGGATGATCTCTCTCTGTCCTTATCTTGACCCCCAAGCCTTTCATTATGTTTTTCTCCCCCCTGTCCAGCTGAGGAGGTGGAGAGATAGAGTGAGGCTTTGGTGGGCATCTGGCATCCAGCCAGGGTCAACCCACCACATACGTTAGTATTTTAGGCTAGACTCACAATTTAACTGAAAAATTGAACTAAAAGGGACTAAATGCACAAGCATTTAACCTTTTCTTTTCAGAAACCTAATGTATATTTCTGAATTTAGGTGTTTTTTGCAGTTTGTAAAACCAGTCTGACAAGCCCAAAATCAAAACCTGGATCAGTACAACACAGACTAGACAAGTTCAACACTCCCACCAGTAGTCAGAACTTGCAACTATTTTTCACACTCCCTTTAAACTGGCTCTGTTTTATGTTGTTAACTAAATTATTTTGAGATATTATCCCAAAGCTGAACCTGTCAAGCATGGCAGTAATAAATTCTGAAAAGCTCTAAGTGAAGTAGCACATAAAGCAACCTTAGAAAACAGCTGAGTGGTTTTTGGAGGGGTTTGGGTGGGGTTTTTTTGTGGGCCTGACTAAGGCGTTGGACTTGGGGCCAAGTGATCTGCGTTCTTGGTTCCCTTATCTCTTGCAAAACCATTGACAAATCATTGATACACTCTGAACTCCATGTTACTCCTATGTAAAATTGACAGATGTTTGCCAGTCTCACAGGAAGCTCTCAAATGGAAAAACTTTCAGTTCTTCAGACTGAAGGCACACATTACATGGAAAATAATACTGTTTAAATATTTGATTCAGGTAGAAATTAAAGACAAAAAGTGTGTAAAGGGTAACATTTTGGACATTAGAAGAGTGAAAGAATCAGATTTAACTGTTTCTGTGACACATTTATGCATCATAACAGCATTTCACAGTTTGAGAAGAGGTGACCAAGTCTTTTGAAAACTTGATTATCAACAACTCTCAAGAGAAAACAATTAAATAACTTGGATGATAAATATTGCTGAAAATCTGGCCATTTCTTGTGAGCAACTGCCCTGTCTTTTATTTCAAACCATGACCTTTCTCACTCCACTTGTTCCTATTTTCTCTCCTGTCCTGTTGTGGTGGGGGTAAGTGAATGACAAGCTGTGTGGATGCTTAATTGCACAATTAGCAATCTTTTGAGGAAGTCCACATATAGGTTGGGAAGTCACTTCACATCTTTATTTTTGTATTTTCCCGTGTGTTTAGGTGTATGCTACTTGCTATGACTGCACAGGGAAAGATGAGCACATCATTATGTGCACATAGCTTTATGTGGACACAATTATGTGCTGACTACTACAGATATAATCGCAGAATCACAGAATGTCAGGGATTGGAAGGGACCTTGAAAGATCATCTAGTCCAATCCCCCTGCCAGAGCAGGAACCTAAATGAGATTACACAGGAAGGTGTCCAAGCAGGTCCTGAATGTCTCCAGAGAAGGAGACTCCACACCCTCCCTGGGCAGCCTGTCCCAGGGCTCTGTCACCCTCACTGTAAAGAAGTTTCTTCTGAAATTTAAGCGGAACCTCCTGTGTTCCAGCTCACACCCACTGCCCCTTGTCCTACCATTGGGCATCACTGAGAAGAGCCTGGCTCCATCCTCCTGACATTCACCCTTTACATATTTATAAACATTAATATAAGCACTTACCTTTATAGTCCAGGTAGTACAGTAGTTTGAAATATATATTAAACCCTACAGATTTGTAGGGGAGGCTTTGTTAAAACAGACCATTAATTTCTAGAAATTTCAACTGCAAAAACACCTGCTCAGTGCCTCTAATGAACAGATGACAGGGGATCTGTTGTAGCCTACCTAATATGCCACTGGAAAATGTTTAAGATCAGAAAGTGTTTTAAATAACAAATAGAAACAAAGTTACCAGCTGATTACCAGTGCCTAAAAATTATCCCCTTCCGAACGGACAAGTTGTCCAGAACTGTCCCATTAAATCTGAAAAACTGGGTACTAATGACTTACTTTCACTAATTTTTTCTCATCTCCATCTGAAGTGTGCAGCTATGATTGACACTTTCAGTAAAAATACCCCTCCCTTTTGTGCATTCAACAGTAATTCTTTTTTGTGACAGTCATGATTTTAACCACCTCCAGCAGTTCTCAACATTAATCTTATAAAATTTTACTTACCGTACAATTTCTTCAGTTTGCTGACTTACAGTTATTCTTCCAACAAATCTATGAAAGATGGCCATATGTTAGAAATATCTACACAAAGACTCAAAAATATAAAAAAACTCCTCTATATTTACCAAAGAGTCATTAATAGTTCACAAGTACAAAATAATCAACTTTTATTAACAATGAAACTAAAACAATATGGCAACACTGGGAATATTTTTACAGGAGAGATTTAACAAAAACATTTATCCTTCAAAAGAACAGTTATTTGAGAAAGCACATTAGGTTTCATTAATAAAACCACAAAAGATTATATTTCTTATTTAGTCAAAACAGATTGTGACTTCGTGATGTTTCACTAAGAAATAATTCCTCAACAAAAATAAGCATATTATCCATCAGAAATAGTAATTTTTCATTTAATAAACCTAGTCTCCTCTGTTTTTAAAACCTGACACTTGCACATTTAGCATGACCCCAGCAAACTCCTATAGTAATTGTACCTTAACTTGATGTTCTCTACACACTGAACTAAAGATCAAATATTTGAACAGCGGTTCAAATTAAGTATCTTAGCTTTTAGTAATTTAATATTTCTTAAAGATCCCAAAGCTTACTTAAGAATAACTGCTGTGATATACTTGGATTTTAAAAACAAGTACTTGATAGCTTCCATTATACGATTCAGGAGAAACTTGGATGGAAATACACTTTTGTTACATACAATGCTGTGTTACAGAGTCTAGGGCATTGCTTGCTGATATTAAAAGCTGAAATCAGATGCAACTGTTTTTAATCTAAATTTTTGCTGCTGAAGAATGGAGTTGCAATCTTCTCTTGAGCATAAGCAAAATAAATGCAACCAACACATATCCTTAGAATTAACATAAGCTTACAACAATTTGCTACAGTTTGAGTTAATGTCATTAAAAAAAATAAATACTATGTAATATGAAATCTCCTGGCAGAGCCCTATACAACCCTTCCTCCAACCTGCTCAGACTCATGGGCCATTTAATTTTTTTTAAATTTGGAAACAAGTTTACTGGTTAGAACAGAAATGTACATAAGTGTAATGACTGAAATATAAAAGGTAAATATTATCCTGTAATTTCTGGTTTACTACTGAAATACTCAAATTTAACTTGTACATACTTATAAACACTTATGCTAATTATTAAAACCTAAAATTTAAGCAGATGTCTGAAGCTATTTTAACCCCAGCAAGATCCATAACATTCCTAATATTAAACACTTCATTTTAATTTAATTTCAAAATATTTACTAATAAAGTGATACCTGTATAGGTCTGCTTCTGGTTGCTGACATTCTATAACAGCTACAAGTTTGTCCAGGTTGGCAACAGACTGTAACACTGCTGTTTCTGGGACTGCAACATGTGTCTGTAAAACAGTGTCCATTAAGTTACTGGTACAGGACTACCGGGCAGGAGGGGTATTTCAATGGGCTGAAATAAAAACAGCATCACAAATTACATTCTATTTCACAGCAGTAACACAGACCTTAAGATTGGTCTCTCCATCCAAACTTGCAGTAGTAACATGGCATGAACCGTCAACTCGATCAGATGACAGAAGCACCAGATCAACAGGAAAAGTCTCATCTTTGGCTACTCTGACAATGTCCCCCACCTAACGAAGTGAACACAAACAAGAAGTGCACAAATAGTTTTAAAAGAGAATAATTCATTTCAGCATTGTTACTGAATCATGATGAAACAGGCCACAATGATTAGGAATGAAAGAAGAGCTTTAGCTATGCAACAGAAACACAATTTTCTATTTGTCCTTAGGTACATACCCGAATGTTTTTAGATCTAGTTTTTACAAGGCCACCACTTCGAACAACATAAACTGGAGCACCATTTACTTCATTATCTGCTTTATGTCGTAGCCAGTCTTCATAACCCTGTGGAAAATGCATACAAATTTACTTTTTAAGCAAGAAACCTATAAAGCATAACAATTACCTTTGAAGCAAATGTGCTTCAAACTACTTGCTGCATAGCCTGGATACAGTTACTAATTTCTCTTGAGTTTCTACTACAGTTGTTACTCAAGAACCCACGAAACCTCTTAATTTTCACTCATTTTACACAAATAAATAAAAGCAAATAAAATAGCAAAAGCAGTGAATAAACAGTCCCACGTCTCAGCACAAAAGACATGGACTTGCTGGAGCAAGTCCAGAGGAGGGCCACAAAAATGATCAGAGGGATGGAACACCTATTAATAAAGGCTGAGAGAGTTGGGATTGCTCAGCCTAGAGAAGAGAAGGCTCCAGGGACACTTTATTGCAGCTTTTCAATACTTAAAAGAGGTCTATAAGAAAGATGAGGATAAATATTTTAGCAGGGTCCGTAGTGAAAGGACAAGGGATAATGGTTTTAAACTAAAAGAGGGGAGATCTAGACTAGATAGAAAGATGAAATTTTTCACACTGCGGGTGCTGAAACACTGGCACAGGTTGCCCAGAGAGGGGGTAGAAGCCCCATCCCTGGAAACTTTCAAGGTCAGGTTGGACGGGGCTCTGAGCAACCTGATCTGATTGAAGATGTCCCTGCTCACTGCAGGGGGTTGGACTAGATGACCTTCAGAGGTTCCTTCCAACCCAAACCATTCCATGATTCTATGTTCTGTTAAAACAAACAGGCAGTGCCATTTTTTGCAGACGAGATGAACAAGTGCTCATTCAATCTTTTACCTACATGTAATTAACACAGCACAAAACTGGGAACAGTCACTCCTAGTCATATAGGACTTCGTATAGTTACTGCCATAACCTATGCATGAAATTTTAAGATTTCTTAATTTTGTATGACATGCTGTTCATACATCAGCTCTGTACAGCAAGACAAGATGACTGAGAAGTTTTCATATCTTTTTGAGTCCTAATCCAACAGTTGTCAGGAACTGAGGCTTTAATGGATAAATTAAGCAGTTTCTTTACCTGACATTCGGCACCTCTTTAAGCACTCTTTATCCCATGCACGCATATGTGTGAAAGTTAATCCGGGTATATTATTCCTCTCTTATTTTCCTAAACTATTAATACATTGCTTATTTAATCTAATAGCATGATTGTCAAACTCTGACCCCTAAGTCTAGGTACACATTGGAAAGCCCCACAAGCAAGCACAAGAAATGGATCAGTCTATGTAGGAAGTTCAACTGTCTCTTATATCCTGGCAAGACTCTTAGAACCGATTTGAAATAACAGAGACATTTCCTAAAATGGTTTGCCATAGGAACAAAAAATGTGAAAGAGTCAAAACCATTTCCTTGGAAGCTTGCAGACAGAATGGGGCCCTCTGAAACAGCAGGCATCATCCCAGCTCATCCCAGAATGCTACAAACATTATATATGAATGTTGTAATACAAAGTACTAATGCAGATGCAGTTTGGAGAATTCTGCAGTTGACTGGAGTTTGGAGGAAAGTTGTAAGATGAATTTAGCACGTTAGAAGTATAGTTTTGCAGTTCTGTGTTCATGCACCTCCACTGTTACTACCACAAATGAGTAAGAACAGCAAAATTGCACTACCTAGGTTTTTTTTTTTTTAAAAAAGGAAGCTTTCTATGTCAACTGCTTAAAAATAAATAATTAAGAAGTATGCAGTAATGGCAGCCACACATAGAGATACTGGGAAATCAGAATCCCAAAATCCCTAAGTAAGACTCTTCAAGAATCCTTCCTAATCAGTATGAAAAAGCAAGAGTCGGTACCTACAGCTCCTTGTTAAAGGTGACTGACAGAAGAAAAGGATTTAACTAAGATCCAGTAACCTTGGGGCATTCGTCTCATAAACTTGAACAGCTGAGCAATATGGGCATTTGGCAAAGACAGAAATTTACCTTCTTTAGAAAGTACCGATTTCAGCGCTTTCTCCATCTGACACCTATTGCCTACAACACAAGGGCAACACCTCACACCAGGGAATTCTTAAGAGTCAACTTACTGTGGGCAGTTTAAATTCCCCCAAAGTTTACCTACTGCGGCATTTTTGAGGGAGTTCCTCATCCTTACTTGTAAATATTACAAAAACACTGTTAAAAAGAAGGATGCAATACAGGGAATGTTGCTTAATTGCATTAACAGAAATTAAGATTAAAATCCCTCAACTAAATTATATTCTTAATTCCTGTTTAAATAATTGTGTCAATGTACTTGAGAAAAGGGCAAAATTAAAGGAGGTCTGCATATTATATTATCAGGTTTTTCATTCTGAGTTTAGGCCTATATTTAATCACAACCTGCAAAGCAGTTATTTATAATTTATCTGACAGTCTGTGTCCAATGAGCTTGTTTGCTAAATATCTATAAACTTAATGAAATCAACTAAGCTCTCTAAAGTTCCTTAGGAAATATCTTTATTCCGTTGTATTTTGCTTTGGGTTTTTTAAACTTTAATTTTTGTTTTATTTTTATTTATTTTATTTTCTCATTTTGGACTCCTCTGAGGACTGCATACACATCTTCACAGGTATAAAGAGTAAAGTGCTCTGGCTAACAAAATAGACAAAATGACACAGCATGAGTCGCATCACTTTGCAGTCTTGTATGTCCTTCTTCTGACCTAGGTGCAATTACACTTCTAAGAAGAAAAAGTTTTGTCTCCTTGGCTGAGATCAAAATAAGGCGGAGTCTTGAGGTTTGCTAGAGGTGACACATTAAATGGCCTTCTGGAAGCAGGGAAGATTTTTTTCCACCCACTGCTAAGCTTCCCAAACCTGCATACAGTTAATGTTTCTATTTTTCCCCTTTTGAGAGACTACTAAGTTATAGTTTAACATCCATCCTGATGCAACATTGTATAGAAACAGTGCCCCACAGCTTTTAAAAAGGGTTTCTTCCCTGAAAATCTGATTCCTATTCCACTTCTAGTTTGAGAGAAAATGGGAGCTGGTTTTGAGACCCATACTGGGTATTTTCCCCTCTGCATTATAAGAGAAGATTTATCTTTTTTCCTTGTCCAAGGGCAGTCTGTTGGAAATAGCACAATGAAATGTCTTTCCAAGACAACAGCTTGTGAACGCTGCTTGCCTACTTTGCAGTAGGTAGGATAAACATGAGTCCATTAGATGAGTTTAGGTGGTTCCAATAGTCCTTGCAGAAATATTGAGACAATCAGAAAAAAACTCTTGACGCCTGGCAAGTCACGAATGATTTGAAACTTCTAGAAGGAATGCCATAATCTCTATTCTTTGCAATTGATGGTAAAACATTTAAATTTCCCAGCATAAGATTAGACATCTGGAAACAAGGTGGTAATAGATTGTTTTGGACTATTTTAGACTTACATAAGCCCAACTTCTTTCTGGAAAAAAAATGTAGTATAAGTTGCACAATCTCTTTCAGTTCACACAGCCTCAAGGGACATTTTCCATTGTCTACTTGTGACTATAGCTCTTGAACATGTGATTTTTTTTGTGGGTGACAATAACAACTGCAATTGAATAGGACTGAGTCACTCTACATATACAAATTGCACAGCAACAAGATGAAGTGTTAGTTCAAATATTACTCCAGTATTAAGATCCCCTCTGTCCCAAACACTATCCTATCCACTTGAAAGCTAGAGCTATTTTTACTTTTGCCCTATTTCAGGGTAGCTTTGGGTCTTACTGGCACAGAAGGCAAATTGAAATTCCAGTTGTAGCTCTGTAACAGTCTCCTGCTTACTTTTCAGTTGCTATGACTGCATCTCCTCCCCAGACAGCACTGTCAAACCCTTTGCAGGGGATAGTTCCTGAAATCTACCTCCCTGCAGAAAAGATTGTAGTTTCTATCCACACGACCTCTTTATTTATGTACTTGTTTGATGGTTTTTTTGTTTTGTTTTTTTTTAAACATTCTCCTTCCAGGGGCTGTAGCCCTTAGTAGGATGAAGTATGGTGCTTGAACAAGATTTCTATTAAACTCATACTTAAAAGATTTTTCTTATTTCAAGTACAACCAAAGAAAAAGAAAACAAAACCAGAAGCTTTCTAACTGGACCTCTTACCTGGCACAGGATTATAGTTAATATATATTTTACACCACGAAACATACTCCTTGGGGCAAAAATTTCCTTTTACCTACTAACAAACACGGATTAAACCATTGCTTCATCTACCCAAGCTTCTTTCTCAGTGTGTCATTTGGGAGGACTGGTTTTAACATGCAGCAAGGTGTGCCAAAGGAATAAGTGAGGAGCTTTCAGAAAAGGTCTTATAACAAGTGACAGTAATGTTTAGACAAAAATGCTGTCCGACAGTCGTTCACTGTCCATTTAAGGGTACAGCAGTGAGTCACCGAACACTTGACAACTAACCAAAATGCTCAAGTTCAAGTGTCTAACAAGAACCATTAAATACAAAATCCTTGCTAAAAATGACACCATTTGTATTTATTTTTAGTATCTAAACATTATCTTGGTCAGACTTTGTTAAGTAACTTCACCTTAGAAAGACTTCATGCTACAAGATTTTTCCCCTTTACCTGTTTTATGGCTGTCACAGTTATGACAAAGAATAATGGCAATCCACTGGTAATAGGACTGGTAGGGGTATCTATCATGAGCTAAAAGAGAAGAAAATATGAAAATTAGAACAAATTTTATTTTTACAATTCTACTTTCCAAAAAGATCCAGTGAAGCAAGATCAGAACTATTTTCCAAACTCCTCACTATAACCTGTGAGTAATTTTACTGCAATTTCTGCAGTATTTCTGGAGTAAAACTCAGTTACTGACATCTAAATAATACATGTCAATAATGATGCAAACAAAGGTTTTAGGGCATTGAACAGACTTAATCACATTTGTAATGCATGTGCCAATTTTAATAGTCCTTCTAAAGGACTAAAAGGAAGATATGTTTTCATCCTACAAAGATGAATTCAAAAGTATATTACAAAGGAAGGAAATCTACACTTTGTGAAGCTGTTCCAATACTCCATACAATCTACTGCTTGGCAGCAATGTAGAGTACATCATTGTGTACAGCAGTGAAAATAAAGATAAAAATAGGAATTTCCAATAGTTTAGATA